TTCAATGCGAGGCCAAAACGTGGAACTATAATTCAATGGTTTCAAAGGGGATAATTAATAAAACACATAGATTTTAAAGTAGCTTATCCAAACTTGTAATATTATCAAGCGGTACCTGGGTTGCTCGGGTTAGATCTACCCAGTTTTTAATTAGTTTAGTTATTTCAATGCAAGACCAAAACTTGGAACTATAATTCAGTGGTTTTGGAGGGGATAATTAAGAAAGTGCGTAAATTTTAAAGTAGCTTGTCCACACTTGTAAAATTTTCAGCCAAGACTTAGAGTGCTCAGGTTAGGTCCACTCAATTTTTAATTAGTTTTGTTGTTTTAATGCGAGATCAAAACATGGAACTATAATTTAGTGGTTTTGGAAGGGATAATCAAGAAAGCGAGTAGATTTTAAAATAGCTTGCCCACACGTGTAAAATTTCTAGGCAGGACTTAGGGTGCTCGAGTTAGGTCCACCCAGTTTTTAATTAATTTAGTATTTTCAGTTCGAGACCAAGACATGGAACTATAATTCAATTGTTTTGAAGGGGATAATTAAGAAAGTGCGTAGATTTTATAATAGCTTGTCCACGCGTGTAAAATTTTCAAGCAGCAGTTAGGTCCACCTAGTTAGTTTTTTAATTAGTTTAGTTTTTTTTCAATAGGAGACCAAAACATGGAACTATAATTCAATTTTTCAAACAAGACTTGGGGTGCTCGGGTTAGGACCACCCAATTTTAATTATTTCAATGTGAGACCAAAACTCGGAACTATAATTCAGTGGTTTCAGATGAGATAATTAAAAAAGCGTATAGATTGTGTGAAATAATTTATTGAAGAATATTTGCCTTTATACTATTAATGTGTAATAATGATGCGATGACACCTATCTTTCATTAAAATTAAAGTATTTAAAAAAAATAACATAAATCTTAACTTTCTCTTTTTTGTGTTTTAAAATTCTAAAATACACACTTCTCATTTTATCATTATGCCAAATTAGTGATGTGGAGGATGTTGCTTCTTTGTTTTGTCTTGCAAAGGTCAGTATTGTTTTATTTTTAGGGTCATGTCAAAAGACACCAAAAATATTAAATATTGGAAGGGGGAGACTAACCATATATAGAAGGGTAAAAAAAGGGCAAAGTGAGAAAAACACCCCTAACATCTTCTCTTTCTTTTTTTTGGTACATAACTGCGTTAAGTTTGAAAAAATGATCAAAGAATGATTTAAGGTCACTATTTCGTTACAAATTTGCCCATGACATTTTTAAGATATAAAATTCTAAAAATACCCTTTTCTCTTCCAATAATGCCATTAAAAAAAATAAATAAATAAGGGAGAAAGACACTCCTAATGTTTACATTTTAGGCAAATAACACCCCTATTGTTTATGTTGTGTATATAACTCCGTTAAGTTTGAAAATTTGAGCAAAGAATAGCTTGACGTTACTATTTCGTTAAAAATTTAGTCATGTGAATTGCACATGACATTTTTAAGATATAAAATTTCAAAAATGTCCATATATCCGATAATGCTATTATATATACACACACACACACACACACTGAACTGAAAAGAGGAACACTTTAGTCATTTCACATTTATTTATTTATTTATTTTTTATTCAATTATAGAGGAACACTTTAGTCTTTTCAGCAATCAAGTCCTTATTTGCTCCAAAATTGAATGTTATGAATTTTTTAGAATGTATAGAGGGTTATATACTTTATATGCATACCATAGGGATATTTTTTTTTCTTGTGACCCAAAAAAAAAAGAAAAAAAAAAGAGAGGTGCTTTAGTCCTTTCAAATTTAATTATTTTTTTACCCTTTTTTATTTAGTTATGGAGGGACACTTTAGTCTTTTAAGCATTCAGATCCTTGTTTCCTCAAAAATTGAATGTCAGGGATTTTTCAAAACGTATAAGGAGTTATACACTCTATATGCATGCCATAGAAGTATTTTTCGCTCGCGACCCTTAAAAAGATAATAATTTACTTGTGAAATTAGGGTTAAAAGTGTCATTTCCTTTTAGATGGAAGTGCAAATGAAGAAAAGGAGAGTGTAAAAATATAAAAATTACACTTTTCTTAGATTAGGAATTCCTCGATCATGTAAAATATTAACCAAATTACAATCTCATGGTCTAAAATGGCTTGCTCACACTTGTAAAATTTTCAGACAAGATTTGGGGTGCTCGGGTTAGGCCCACCCAAGTACCACCCTAGTTTTTAATTAGTTTATTAGTTGTTCAACAAGAGACCAAAATATGGAACTATAATTCAATGGTTTCGGAGGAGATAATTAAGAAAGCGAGTAGATTGTAAAATGGCTTGCTGAAACTTGTATGTAAAATTTTCAGACAGGACTTTGTGTGCTCGAGTTAGGCCCATCCAAGTACCACCCCTAATTTTTAATTAGTTGTGTTGTTTGAAAGTGAGACCACGTACGTGAAACTATAATTCAGTGGTTTCTATGGAGAATTTAAGAAAGCAAGTAGATTGTAAAATGGCTTACGGACACTTGTAAAATTTTCAGGCATAACTTCTTGTGCTCAGGTTAGGTCCACCTAGTTTTAAATTAATTTAGTTTTTTTAATGTGAGACCAAAACATGGATTATAATTCAGTAGTTCCGAAGAGGATAATTAAGAAAATGCACAGATATTATAATAGCTTGCCCACACTTGTAAAATTTTTAGGCGGGACTTTGGCTGCTTGGGGTTAGAGGTGGCAATTCGTGTTCGTGGGTCATAATCATGTCTTGTCGATGTAAGGATATTATACTATACAGGTAAACCCAAACTCAACCTATTTAATAATCGTGTCAAAAACCCTCAACACTAACCCAACCCGTTTATTAAATGGGTAAAAGTGTTAACTCGTTTAATGACCTGTTTATCAAAATGAGATATTTAATATTTAATCAAATAATAAATAATAGAAAAAAATTGTCATAATTAACTCAAATATTCAAAATAAGAAGAAAAATCTTAAGGCATAGATAAGGTTTATGTTGAAATGACTTAACTATTTATAGTAATTGGGTTTAAATAAGTAACATATTACATAGGTCATATTTAAGATTATAACATATTGAGTTAAACGAGTTATAAACGGGTTACACGAGTTCAACCCCTTAACCCTAACACGACACAATTAAGTAAATGAGTTAATCATGTCAACCCGTTTATAATCCGAACCCGTTTAAGGTCAACCTAAACTCGTTTATCTCATGTCGTGTTCGAGTCGTATCATAATTTGCCACCCCTACTTGGGGTCCACCCTGATTTTGACCAAAACATGGAACTATACTTCAGTAGTTTCAGAGGGAATAATTAAGAAAGCAAGTAAATTTTAAAGTGGCTTGTCCATACTTGTAAAATTTTCAGGCAAGACTTGGGGTGCTTAGGTTAGGTCCACCCAGTTTTTAATTAGTTTAATAGTTTCAATGCGAGACAAAAATGTGGAACTATAATTCAGTGGTTTCGGAGGGGATAATTAAGAAAGCGCGTAGATTTTAAAGTAGTTTGTCCACATTTGTAAAATTTTCAGGCCGGACTTGGGTTGCTCAGGTTAGGTTTACCCAGTTTTTAATTAGTTTAGTTGTTTCAATGCAAGACCAAAACTTGGAACCATAATTCAATGGTTTCGATGGGGATAATTAAGAAAGCGCGTAAACTTTAAACTAGCTTGTCCATACTTGTAAAATTTTCATGCGGGACTTGGGGTGCTCGGGTTAGGTCCACCAAATTTTAATTAGTTTAGTTGCTTCAATGCGAGACCAAAACATGGAACTACAATTCAGTGGTTTTGGAGGGGATAATTAAGAAAGCGAGTAGATTTTAAAATAGCTTTCCCACACGTGTAAAATTTTCAGTTAGAACTTGGGGTGCTCGAGTTAGGTCTACCCAGTTTTAAATTAATTTAGTTTTTTCAATGCGAGACCAAAACATGGAACTATAATTTAGTGGTTTTGAAGGGGATAATTAAGAAAGCGCGTAGATTTTATAATAGCTTGCCCACACGTGTAAAATTTTTAGGCAGGACTTGCGATGCTCGGGTTAGGTCCACCTAGTCTTTAATTAGTTTAATTTTTTTTCTATTTTTGGCCAAAACATAGAACTATAATTCATTGGTTTCAGAGGGAATGACTAAGAAAGCTGGTATATTTAAAAATGGATAATAGTTAGGGCCTCACTAATAAGGATGTACATCGTACTCACCACTGATGTGGACCAATAATAAATAAATACATTCTCTTTAATTATCAAATCAAAGATGATGGGGTACATACTCAATTACCAAATCAAAGATGGTGAGCACATACACAATTTCTGATTTGATAATGAAAGAAGTGATGTCCATTTTTTATTGGTGTACATCAGCGGTGATGACGGTATACATCTTCACTGGTGAGAACCTAAGTATTGTCCTTTTAAAATAGCTTGTTTACACTAGCAAGATTTTCATACAAGACTTGGGATACTCAGGCTAGGACCACCCAATTTTTAATTAATTTAATTATTTCAATGTGAGACCAAAACGTGAACAATAATTCAGTGGTTTCAGATGAGATAATTAACAAAACGCGTAGGTTATGCGAAATAATTTATTGAATAATATTTGTCTTCACACTATTGATGTGTCATAATGATACGATGACACTTGTCTTTCATTAAATATAAAGTATTTAGAAAAATAACATAAATCCTAACTTTCTCTTTTTGTGTATTTAAATTTAAAAATAGATACTTCTCATTTTTTGATCTTCTCATTTTATACTTATGAAATCAGTTATGTGGAGGATGTTGCTTCTTTGTCTTGTCTTGTGGAGGTCAGTATTGTTTTAGTTGAATAGATATCATTTTTGTATTAAGCTGATAATAGAATATCAATGAACCAATGACATTAGATATGGGGTAGAAAAAGGCTTGAAATGCTAGCCTCATCTATAACACTTTACCTTTAAGCTTTATCATCTACTTTCTAAGCTTCTGATTGACCTCCTAAGCCTTCTAGTTAGCAATCCTCCTTTTAATACATTCCATTCAAATCAAGCTCCTTTTGGGTTTTGGGTATTTTATAACAGGAGGAACAAAGGATAAGACAGAAAGTGCCTACGTCATTTTTGAAGAAATCAATATGTAAAACATGAAAAGAAAATTTGAGAATAATTAGGTTGGGATTCTTCCAAGTCTCTTTGCTAGAGTTGCCCTCTCTCTCTCTCTCTCTCTCTGAATTCTTAGCTTTTCTCTGGGGTTTCTTGCCTTCTTTTACTTTAATTTTTCATGTACTCTAATTTTGCACCCTCTTCCCTTTGGTCTTGGTCTTGGTCTGCCACTATAATCATCACCTTCTGTACACAATCTCTACCCACTGCTTATTTTTCTCAGTACTGTGCAGTCTCCCTATTCAGTATTCACATATATAGACATACAGGGTAGTAGTGGAGAGTTTTGAAGAAAAAACCATTATCTTACTGTCTCTTCTTTCCCATATATATCTATATATATGTGTGTGTTTCTGATATATAATTGCATGGTGGGGATAGCATAGCTTGATGGGTTTTTAAAAGAGATTGGAAAAAGATCATGATATACAAATTGGGATGCAGAGTTGCTCAGACAAGCAATCCAATATCCATTGTTAGATAGCGACTTTGATAATCACCCATCATCATCATCATCATCATCATCTCCTCACGAGATTTTGCTTTGGACACCCCATATTCAATGATGCCTTTCTCTGCCCAAATGTCACTGCCACCTGTTCATCAAACAAACCACTACTAATTAGTTGTATCCAAAGCTGGGATTCTCTCTCTCTGGGCTGTTTAATTCCTCTCTTCTTGTTTTTTCTTCAGAGTCCTATAGTGGGTTGTTACAAGAGGGCTTAGTAGTGCAAGCATTCACACACACACACACACAAACACAAACACACACACACACACAGAGTAGTGGGGTTTGTTTTGTTTTTGTTTTTCTTGTGTTGGAGTCTTCTTCAGAGGCAATGTTTCCTTCTGTCATGTCTAACTCAACATCTTTGTCTCATGAGGAAGTTAGTGTTTCTTCTGGTGCTAAAGTTCAAGACTTTGGTAGCTTAAATCCAATGGTTTCATCCATTTCTACTCAGCAGCCACAGAAGATCAAGAAGAAGAGGAACCTTCCCGGAAACCCAGGTAAGTTTCGTCTTCACGTTTGAGAGCACCGAATCAACACATTAAATTTGAAATCGAAAAACATAAAAATAAAAATAAAAATAAAATTCACTTGCTCAAATTAAGTGTTCCCAAACACAACATTAGTACCATCAATTTACCATTAGATTTGATAATCGGCCTAGATTTCGTATATGTTGCTCATAACTTTGATTGATCTAATTATGATGACACAGACCCTGATGCTGAAGTAATTGCATTATCTCCGAAGACCCTTTTGGCAACCAATAGGTTTGTGTGTGAGATCTGTAACAAGGGGTTTCAGAGAGATCAGAACCTTCAGCTTCACAGGAGAGGCCACAATCTTCCATGGAAGCTGAAGCAAAGGAACAACAAAGAGAACAGGAAGAGAGCCTATGTTTGCCCTGAGCCTACATGTGTTCACCACCACCCTTCAAGGGCTCTTGGTGACCTCACAGGAATCAAGAAACACTTCTGCAGAAAACATGGGGAAAAGAAATGGAGGTGTGAGAAGTGTTCAAAGATCTATGCAGTTCAATCAGACTGGAAGGCTCACTCTAAAACCTGTGGAACAAGAGAGTATAGATGTGATTGTGGAACCCTTTTCTCCAGGTACATAGTTCTTTTCATCCTTTCAAATTCCCATTTTTTTTAATCTGTGTGTTTTAATCTCAAAAATCCTCCAATTAATTCTCTTCTTTTATCGGTTTGCATTTCATATATATATATATATACATAAATATATATCTTTGTCATTCACCACTTTGGTGTCTAATGGGACTCATGCTGAATGTTGGCATTTTGTTGAAAATGGGAAGTCTGAAATCCTCCAATTCTCTTCTTACACCAGAGTAGTAAGCTTTGCACCGAATGTATCTGTAACTTAAATTTGTTGCCATATTTGCATGAAAGTGGACATCATTAATACAAGTGTGTGTTCTTGATGACATTGCCAGAGAAAATGAAAGCAATAACTCTTTTGAAATTGCAAATTAAGTTCAAATTTGTTTATTTTTCTGCCTATATACATATATGAGAAACATAATATCTCCAATTTCAATTGATTACAAAAGGCAAGTTGCATTTGAATAATTGAGCTAGACAAAAATTTCACTTCAAGGAAATATTTTCTTTGTACTTGGTACTTACTAGTATTAATGGACTTATTGCTGTACTCTCAAAAACAATAATGGCCGGGTTGCTGTTCTTTTGTCTAAAGAAAAAAAAATACATGAGAAGCTTAATTAATTACTTGGTGTGTGTCCATATATGGTTGAGAACCATGATTTATAGTTCTTTAATGAAGTGTGTATATATATGCTATTATTTTAATTGCAGTACCCCTCTGAATCTATATATGGAATTCATTATAATGAAATCTGGTAAATCTGTAAAAAGATCCGGTAATTATATGGTGCATTGTCTTCTTTTTTGTTTCATGATGATCTGTAGATCCTACATGGGGTTTCAATTGCATGTATATGTTTGTTTCATGCATGAGCTCAAAGAACAAAGAGGCAATTCTAATCCATGATCACTAATATCTAGAAACTTTGAGGCAGTACTATATATTCATGCCCACTTTTGCATGCATAAACATCAATGATCAATCAATTGCCATGGATCTCTCTCTCTCTCTATACATATATATATACATATATATCACACACATACACACACACACTGACTTTAAATCTTGATTGACCCACGAAGAAAATTCTTCTAAGCTTTATGACTTTACAGTGTGAACTGAGTGACTCTATACTGCACGCATGCATGTGTGTGTAATCTTAGCAAAAGATATTTTGTTTGAACCACACACAAGATGGATAGAGCCATCAAAGAAACGCATTTTTCTTGCATAATTGCATCATCACTATGTCCTCATTGTGTTCCTAGGTACATGCATTGTTTTGAGTATCTTATTCCCCAAAAGTCCTTCACCCACCAAGAATTAACCTTATATATGTTTCTTTCCTTCCCTACTCCAAGTTAATTATAAATTAAAAATGATTGTTAGAGGGGCTACTTCAAAAATGCATTTTGCCTAGTCATTTAATTTATTTGCTTAATTGAATATATATATATATATATATATATATGAGTCTATGATACAGAGTTCCACCGTCAAACAAACAACTCCAACTATTTTAATGGGACGTTAACCTTCACCCACATAAAACGTACAGTGGGATTAGTCAATTGTGAAGCTAATGTTTCTATATTGTTAATTGTTTGTATGTTAACAGAAAGGATAGCTTCATTACCCACAGAGCATTTTGTGATGCTCTAGCTGAAGAAAGTGCAAGACTCTCAGTAAACCTATTGGCAGCAACAACCAACCAAACTGCAAACCAAGCCTTCAATCTACATGACCCACAAAACCCATCACCTCTCTTCCCATTCACCACCCAACCTGCCCACATCTCCCTCAACCCTTGGGACCCACCTCAAAACCCTAACCCTAGCCAAAACCCACTTCATATCAAACCTGAAACCACCATCCCACCACCACCACCAATCTCTTCCTCATTCTTCCAAGAACCACCACCACACAAGACCATGATCCAAAGCTTCATTTCAAACAGTGCCACCTCTGCTCACCTCTCAGCCACTGCACTCCTCCAAAAGGCTGCAACAGTTGGTGCACAGTCAGTTGGTCAAGTGGCATCTACTATGGGCCAGCTGGGTACCACTGTGGGTCACGTGCGCTCCGGAATCTCACCAGAGTACCTCTGTTTCAATCCCGGAAATCTTGCCGCGTGGCAGCAGAAGAGTGATCGGCTGACCAGGGACTTCTTGGGCTTGACAGCAGACTGTGGTGGTGGCGGCGGCGGCTTTGGCGGTGGAAATGCTGACGATGGCGTTAACGCTAGTGTGAACCTGAGGGGTCCGCTATCGTTCACGGGGTGCGTAGACTTCTCAGCATATGACCGTGACCACACGCTGCTGAAGCCCCAAGGTTTTGGTTTTGCCGATACATGGGGGTAATTGTCAGACATGTTGAGGGGTAAAATAGTAATAAGGGCCTTCGGAAGTAAAATGACTAATATACCCCCAAAGGAAAGAGGAAAAGAAACTATTTTCCCTTCTTGGCTATTTTCTATTTGTTTTCGTGGTTTTCTATGTTTTCATGTTGCGAAGAAATGTTAAGTAGCAGTAACTTCTCATAGCGTTATGCTGAACTATATATTGTCCGTTTTTGTTCATGAATTTACATTTTTAAGTATCTTCTCTATTAAATTTTGAAGAAGTATAGAGTTAGAACGATGGTGGAGAAATTATTACATAATTCTAAAATCATTGATCTTTGAATAATTACTAGTTGACACGTAAATAAATATATCGATTTTATTTAATTTTTTTACTTGCATTTCAATTAATAATTGATCGTAGCCAAGGATGGTGACAATTCTTGTAGTTTTGGTTTGGGCCTCGGATGCATGAGGTAATTATTAGACATGTTCAGGGGTAAAATGATAATAAAGACCTCTAACGACAAAAACACCCCCAAAGGAAAGAGGTAAAGAAAATGATTTTCCTTTGCTTTTTTTATTTGTTTCCATGATTTTCTGTTTTCTTGTTGCGTATAAATGTTTACCAGTAGTAATTTCCCATAGGGGTACCATGAATTATATTTTCCTTTTTGTTTATGAATTCTCAGTTTTAAGTCTCGCTAATAAATTTTGATAAATTATATAGTTAGGAGAGCATGGTAACAATTTTTATACTTTTTTTATAATAAAAAAAATAAATAACATATGAAAAATATGGATATGTTTCTTTCAATTTGACACAATTTCTTTTATTTGGACTTTTCGACATTCTGATGTCCTAGGTGTGTAGAGGAACCAGGAACCGCACCAATCCATCCCGCAATATGCAAATATATGATAGAAGATGTCGGTGGGGGGCCATACCTTGTACTAATCAGAATTGACAAATTTGCCCTTCAACCCCACACTCTGACAGTGATGGCTACAGCCAAATATTGATAATTGAGACTCTTGAAATGACTGATTAAAATGCATTCCTAAAGTCATGCATGCACTGATGATTCCTACAGTGGAATAACCGTGTGATCTGAATTATATATCATTTGATCGTCAGAATAGTAGGTTTTCTACCATAGTGATCTTTTGTTTTCATTGTGTAATATATACATATTTATATATGTATATAAAGTGACACATCTCTCTTTCTCTCCCTCTCATTATGGTTGCATGTGTATAAATTCAAGTTCACTATCATTCTCGCAATCCTAGGACCAAAAAAAAAAAAAAAACAGTTGTTGGTATCAATGGACCATGTCAGTCTTCTTTTTGAAAATTTATTAAGCATCTCCAATTAAAAAAAATTCAACTAAGAAAAGTGAATCCATAAGAGTAATTAAAAGATAAATTTTGATAGAATTAGATTACTGCTAAATGTTTTTATCTCACATTAAATTGAATCTTGACGTTATAGAGATAGATAAACAACTCTACTTAATAACTTAAGTTCTCAAGTCAGAATTCGAATAAAAAGGGTCTTATAAAAACGAATAAATAACTCCACTTAACAGCTTAAATTTTCGGATCGGATTGCACGCTTCCGACTTGTTATACAGTGAAGGCACGTATATACCCTTCTAGGAGCTTGCTGAAATCTAGAAAACCTAAAGCAAATTTGGTTGTGAACAGGGCTATATGCCACACCAATAAGTCTCTGGTTTACATCATTTCTTCGATGAAAATTCCAACTAGGTCAACGTACATATTACTTTAGTTATAAGAAATTTCCAAAGATAGGACAAAAAAACTCACACCCAACTTAGATAATAACAAACCACCCCCCTACACACGCACAAACAAATGAAATGTGAATTACCCAAAAAAAAAAAAATTAGGTGATGATCATTTTTCATTTGTTTACATAGATTAGAAGTCACTTGATTTTTAGCACTATTTGTACAAAGTAATTGTCACTTCAAATTCTTAGAACCCATTTTATAGATTCAAATCTAAGATTGAAGTATATTCAATTTCGAGAAATTCTTTTCCCAATCTTTTACTTTTGGGATACTAAGCAAAAAGAATTTAAACAGATTCAAAGTAATGTAGGCTTTTCTAAAGAGTAGGGAGGCTGCAAAATCTGTTATAAGCGTGAATATAAAGGTGTAATGGTTTACATGTGTTGTGGTGGTCCGGGGACTTAGTGGTACTACTACTAGACCAGACCAGACCAAAAGGAAAAAGGAAAGGAAAGAAAAGAAGGGAAAATAAAGAGAGGAAAGGGAGAGAAAATAAAAAGACGGAAAAGAAAATTGTCAACGGTTATGAAAATGATGCTCGATGAAACTTTGAAAGTTTGAATTACATTTCCTCAGTCTTCTTTTCCTTGATGACTCTCTCAGATTCTGTGCAGGCCTCCATATTACAGCCTTTAGCTGGCACTTCAACATAACAACAACACAACACTAGCTCCTTATAGTTTCAGTACTTTCTTCTCTGATCTTTCACATGGCCCACCTAATTCCCATCAAATGCTTATTAGATACATCACTCACCCCAGTGACTCTTCTTGGATCAAAGAATAACATGATCATAATTCAAAGGGGAAAACAATTTCCTTCATATTTCTCTCATTCTTAAATATAATTGAATAAGTGTTCAACTAGAACATGAAAACCGAGGGTAAATTGGTCCTAGTTACTCTTCGAGATAGAGTAGAAGAGGGGCGAAGATTCTCAAAGGAGAAAAAGGATTCAGTGACCTCGAAAGAATTGAAAATCTCATATATGGTTCTGTAGAGTGACAGTAAATGTAACTTATTTGTCGACTTTTCCACTATCACCCCCAAACAAAAACCAAACTAAAACTAAAATTTTCACCCTTTGGATCATTGCTCATATGTTCTATTTCCTCTACTGATAACAAAAAAGAAAATGCATTTCCTTTATGTTGTTTTTTTTCCATGAACCAAACAAAGCCTTAGAGAGTAATAAGTAAGATTTTAACTGCATAATAGGGAAAAATATATATATGTGAAAATAAAGCACTGTTCTGGATCATACTATAATTCAACTAGCATTTACTTTAGAGAAAGTACATTCAACATACTTAGAGAGAGAACCAATAACTCAAATTATTACAACTGAAAAGTATATTCACCATCTGTGGGGGAAGAGAGAGAGAGAGAGGGGAGCCTAGGGATTAATGAAAGGAGGGGTTGAGTCTAATGGTATATCCGTTCTTTTAGAAAGTAGATATAAGTTGCAGGGTTAAGGTACATTACATACCATTTGCCTGCTAAAAAAGACAACATCTTTTTATCTATCTCTCTGTGCTGCACAACCAGACAAACCAAAAGCTTCTCTTCTATTCCCCTCTCCTCTTTTCCTCTCTCTCTAACAGACTTGCATATGTCATCTTTCATAAGGGAATCTCACCTCCACAGAACTACCTTTTCTTTCTTTTCCTTCTTCCTTCCAATGCTAATAATTACCAAACCCTTCTTTTCAATGCTTTTCTCTTTTCCCTTCTGCTGCAAATCCCCATGCAAGACCCTCTTTCCACAATCCTCTTGAGTATCACTCCATTCAATAGATAGAGGATGGTGAGACATCTTTCCATGGCCTATTATAATATGTAGTTCATCTAAGATACTTCTGCTTTAGCCTGCCACTAACTGTCAAAGCCCTGTTCAATTATATTAAGATTGTCACACCTTTTTTAAGGTTAACTAATCTAGAGGTGGTTTCTTAATCTCACACACAAAAGGATAGTGAAAAGCAAAGATATGAGACGATAATCCAAGAAGATAAACACCCACCATAACCTAACTTTGAAAAAAAAAATAATAAATCTTCTAGTTTCTAAGCATAGTTACCCATGAAGAGTTCTAATTAAGCTTATGGTACTCGACCTCATCTATTTAAAACAAAATGTAAGTATTGGTTTTGCCAACAGCTATAATAAGAGTGCAATATTGAACAGGATAAAATCGTCAAGTAATTATGCATAGTTGTTAACTAGCATGAAATCTACTGTTACATCCCTCCCTCAATCCAAACAAGGACATAAATGCAGATTTGCCCGAATCTGATGGACTCTGGCTGCTTGGTTCAGCGTTAAACTTTCTGCAACCTTCATATCATTAGAAAATTTTTGAGCTTTTTGTAGGTTGTGTGTTCTACCTTCTAGATAGTTTCATTATCTCAGTTAATTAATCTTCTTATCATTTTACCCTTCCATTAAGACTTAAATTACATATATGAAGGGTTTGTTGAGGAAAATGAAGAAAATTTTTGTTCTCACCCCCAAAGATAAAAGCCTCTCCTCTCAGTATGAAAGTTAGATGATAGTGCCTAACGTTCAAAAATTCTTGTACTTTGACAGTGGCAAATCATCAAGTTTTACAGCATGCAACTTATACAAGCTAGCACAAAGATGATTTCAAATCTAGAATCGTACAGAATCCACAAGAATTCAACAAAATCGCATTTTCAGTCATATAACATGATGAAATAGCATGTACACGTGAAAGCAATTATTAAAGTTAATGTGGAACTTGTATTCTGCAATACAGCGGAAGACTCACATGTAAAAGTACCAATTGAGAACAAAGTCCTTGCTGTGAATATGAATTGATTTGCATTCTCAAAGATACTAGGGGGACCAATTTCTTCATAGAAGTCTGTGTTGAACATCTCATCCAACCAACAGTCTCGGCCACCCAAAATTATATCCCAAATATTAACACATTCTTGAATGCCTGCAGTAGGAAATGCTGCACATGGAAATCAATTTCAGTTTTGCTAAATTCTAAAATGTACCAAAGTTCCTTAAAATTTCCTGTATCCTAGACAACAAGATATTTCTATTAGATTTGCAACTTAATTGAATGTTTGTTCATTCCTGGGCAAGCTTTGGAAAATTTGCACTGCATATGGAGATGGAAGTGGACTTCTAGATGCAAATGTTGATGATATATGTGCATACATTGTCAGATACAAAGGCATAATAGGATGAAATTAAAAAAGCAAAAAGAAGACATAACAAAGTTGTTTTCAAAGCTGAAGAGGACCATACATTTATGCTTAGAATTCCAATTATATTGGACCAAACATTTATAGGTAGAATTCAATTTGAATAAAAAATTTGTGTAAACCTGTATATTAAGTTTTTAAAAAGGATTATAAAAATGTATGTCATATGACAATTGGTACAATAACAAGGTACCTAGATC